TATGCTCGCGAACGGTTAATTTAGAAATTCGAAAGAGGTTATTAAAGGTGTATGTTTGGAGCGCGGCGCTGTACGGGTGCGAAACATGGACAGTGGGCGCGGTGGAGAAGAAAAGGTTAGAAGCGTTTGAAATGTGATGTTACAGGCAAATGAAGATACCTTAGATAGAGAAGGTTAGAAATGCAGAGGTATTAGAAAGAATAGGAGAACAGAGGACAGAGGCAAAAACGGAAAATAGGACGAGTAGAGGTAGACCTAGATTAGATTACTGTTCGCAAATAGTAAAGGATATGGGTTGTTCTAGTTTTAGGGAAATGCGAAGATTAGCTCAAGATAGGAAGGAGTGAATGTGTGTGTCCAACCAGTCTTAGGACTGAACACTTTATGATGAGGACATATTATTATTAAAAAAGTAACATCAACTCGAGAAAGCTGTCCACTATATTGTTTGATATCACAAACGCTAAATAGTAATGTAATAGACAATGGTTGGAGAAATCATCATTTTCTGAGAAACTATCCAGTTCACTTCATGATTTAGATCCGTGGCGAAAAATCCTGAGAATTTCTTCATAGTGTTGAATTGGTTCCCAAACTGTCGTTGGTGCAAACGAATAAATTTACTAATAAATAGCCTTTTTAAGGTTCCGTTCCTCAAAAGGAAAAAAGGAAACTTACAGGATCGTTTCGTTGTCCATTTGTCTGTGTGTCTATTAAGACCCTTTTTCTCAAAGACGCGTGGACATATCAGGTTATAATTAATATCTAACAAATACTCAAGTCTGCAATCCCTTGGAGATGTGAAACAAGAGAATCAAAGATACGGACGTTTCTGAGTTTCTGACCCTCAGAAGGTAATCAAAACCTATATTATTATCACTACATAGTATAAAACAAAAGTCGCTTTCCCGCTGTCTGTCCCTATGTATGGTTAAATCTTTAAAACTACGCAACGGATTTTCATTCGGTTTTTTTTAAAAGATAGAGTGATTCAAGAGGAAGGTTTATATGTATAATACATGCATAATATAGCAGGGAAACACTGATAATTTTAGAGGTTTGTAATGTGATGTCGTAAATAAACACATTTTTTGCCCTTAAATTACAAACGCTGGCTGAAACCTACGAGATAGATCAAAATAATGTACTACAATATTGTACATCTTAAAAGGGTCTACAAAAAAGTCCGGGACGGTATATGTCTATCTCTTAGGGATAACCCACAATAACCATTTTTATCCTTTACTTTTTATGAGAAATAATGACTTATTTACGAAGCAATTGTAGGCAATACAGTATTAATTCTTATCCAACTAAGTACCTTAAATACATTGTGCATTTAATATAGATCAATATGGCCCTTTACAGAATGTAATTTAAATGAATGTTTTCGAAGATCTTACAGATTTAAAATGCAGGGACATAGCGGTTGCAGCGGTACCGGCGGGAGGCCGGTTTGTATTGTCTAATAAAAAAATTGTGAATGTTGTATATAAAGACATTCTGTAGTATATTTAGTATGTTCAGGGGGTATCTTTTGAAGATTTCCCCTTTTCGATAATAATCTAAACAAAACAAAAATATATTTAGTATCAGAATTGCACCCGTGCGAAGCTGGGGCGGGTCACTAGTTAATATATAAAATCTATATAATTATGAAATTTAGACAGAAGCAATGTCTTATAGCTTATAGCACAAGTAAAGGGGAAAATCCTAAAACCGTGAATTTATAATTAAATCACAAAAAGAACATAATTTTTTAATTATACGTTTTGGGGACTAATTTTGGAACAAAACTTAAAACATACTCGAAAATCGGGAAAAATCTTTGGTATTTGATTCTCGAGAGGGACGAACTATTTACATACCTGCAAATCTGTACAGAACCCTTGGTTGCCCATATTTTTTAGGTAAATATCCCGCTACTAATGTCACACTTAAACTGGCTGCTAAATAAGGCCCTGGAGCGTGGGACCTTTCTGCTGTGGGGACCTTTGGCTACCCGTTAAATCCGCCACTAAGAAGCTTGCTACCAATTGAAATCATTTTGCCTCGTCTCAAGTGGCAATTAGAATTGTCAGATAGTCGAGATTTGGCTGGATTCTCCTGACATTTCATATGATGTCCAGACTCCCGACAAAATTTATAAGTTAAAAGCTGCGCTCCTTGGAAATAAAAAATCTAAAATATTGGGTCGACATTGTCCATGGTCCATGAAATTTTGAAGTTCGAAATTGATATCAGAACCTGTCAAATCACCACTTATTGTACCTTTAGCATGGAACTATTAAATCCTATGAATTACGACAAAACAACCCCCAAGGCAATATCTAATTGATATACACCAGCTTTGTAAAACTGAAAACCATAAGATATTGTTTTGTGCTACTAAATGCGTATAATCCAAAATTTTTAGAAAAAGATTCGAAAAATTTCACTTATTAGGTGAATTCAAAGCTAAAGAAACTATGGATTCCATTTCTTTCTCTTATTACAACGTGCAAAAATGATTGATGTTGATTTTACAATAAAAAAAATATTTTCGGCTCTATTTTGGCTCAGATCTTTCACACTAAGCAAACTTTTCGTCATCAGTGTCTTTTTTCCAATTAAAACAGATGACAAAGGCAAATAAGGAAGCATATGAAGTACATAGAAAAATTATTTGTTGGTGAACTGAAGAAACTATAACATAAAGAAAAAGTATACCTCAATCAGTTGAATCATACTTAATCTTCGCATGTGGTGATATCTTGCAAACACCACTAGAAAAACTCCAATATTTAAAAAATGAGAAAATGCCTGCCAAGTTTTCTTAAAAAATATATTATCCTTAAGTAAATAGGTACTACAAAAAAGTATTTAATTGAAAAAAAAATATTGTTTTAGTGCGCAATGGCTTACGGAAGCAAAGAAGCACTTTGGGCTCATATTAAGTTCACTTTTCGGTATTTTGAATGTTTTTAGATTAAAAACTGAAATACTATTACTAAAGACAAAAATGAAAAATATCAAATGTTTTTATACAAAAATGTACGCCTAAATTTAGAAATTTTAAAAACACTAAAATTAAATTAATTACATAAATTCATCAAGTGCTGTCATTATACAGAGTAAGAATTTTTTTGAAACCTGGACAATGTTGACCTTTCAAATTTCTTTCAAACCTGGACAAAGTGCGCTACCAAAAAATTACCCAGGGGCTACAGCAAAAGTTAAAACCGGCACTATTTGTAGTCATACATGTACTCAAATGTAATACAAATAGATTTGTTTAAAACAATATATGTGTTTGTAGTGGTAGCTACCTTTCTACCGCTATATTCGCTTAAATATAAAAGGGTGTATGTATGTGCTGTGTAAACAGAATGTGGCAGGGGTGGCGGGAAATATTGATCGGTGAAATTTTCACCGACTGACTGACGGTCGCGACATCATCAGCGGCCCTTCCGACTGTTGTTTCATCGTTCCTACCCCTCGATATAATAATGCCTACACGATAAAAAGTCAACAAAGATATACANCCCAGGGGCTACAGCAAAAGTTAAAACCGGCACTATTTGTAGTCATACATGTACTCAAATGTAATACAAATAGATTTGTTTAAAACAATATATGTGTTTGTAGTGGTAGCTACCTTTCTACCGCTATATTCGCTTAAATATAAAAGGGTGTATGTATGTGCTGTGTAAACAGAATGTGGCAGGGGTGGCGGGAAATATTGATCGGTGAAATTTTCACCGACTGACTGACGGTCGCGACATCATCAGCGGCCCTTCCGACTGTTGTTTCATCGTTCCTACCCCTCGATATAATAATGCCTACACGATAAAAAGTCAACAAAGATATACATATCATACATATGAGCAAAACGGGCAAAAATGGTACGTTATTACCAAGCGTGAAAGCTCGGAAAATTATGTCGTCCACATCGACGCAAAGTGTCGTGGAAAGAGCGTCTGCTGAACTGTCGAAACGGATAAACGGACTGGGTTTAAGAACAAGCATCAATTCGACAAAAAGCAGTGTCATAGAACGTGTTACGAATGTGTTTTGTGGCAGCAGTTTCAGTAGCAGTTCTTCGTCAATGCAAAACATTGACAAATCGTCTAAAACCCATCCGTCCCGTGAAGCTAAAGCTTCAGAATCAAGGTACGTACATACTATATACAAAGGACATGGTAAACGATTAAGAGCATTCCATACATTGTAACATTTTAGCGTCAATTATTTGACGTCAACTTCATGGAAACAGTGTCTCAACCAGAACCGTTTGACATGGGACCAGTTGATGCTAGACGAAAAATTCTTATCAAAGTTCTTCCTTTACTTCAGTCCGAGCGAGCGTTGCGTTTTACCACGGGTTTGTACACGTTGGCGGGATATTTTGTACAGAACGCCGAGATACTGGACCGGACTCACCCCCGTCGTACAGTGTAGAGAATTACGAACAGCTTCGTCCGCTGATAAAACAAGACTTTACACTTCTTTTCTAAGGAGAGGTTTCCACGGACTTTGTTTAGTCGGAGCCACCGACGAAGATGCTAGTGATATCGCCAACACTTTTCCAATGGCATCAAAACATATACACTCGCTTAGTATTCAGGGTTCTAGTATATCCGATAAGGGGTTGGAAATTCTCCTTGACCACCTTCAGGTAAATAATTACTAAAGTAATAACCCAAACGTGTCACTTTCTAGGAATTACTTTTAGGCTTTGTACGAATTGGAGATAACAGGGTGTAATGAGATTACGGAAGCAGGCTTATGGGCTTGCCTTAAGCCCAGAATAGTTTCTCTAACATTAAGCGATTGTATTAATATCGCTGATGAAGCCGTCGGAGCTGTCGCTCAATTATTACCAGCCCTTTACAAATTCTCGTTGCAAGCTTATCACGTAACAGATACCGCCTTAGGATACTTTTCATCCAAACAGAGCAATACGCTTAATGTCTTAAGGTTACAATCGTGTTGGGAAGTTACTAATCACGGAGTTGTAAATTTTGGTAAAGCAAAAGAAACACCAAAAGTTGCTTATATTATATTTATCTACAATGTTTTTTTTTTTTTTAGTACATGCGTTACCAAATTTAACAGTACTCAGTTTGTCAGGGTGCAGCAAAATTACGGATGATGGAATTGAACTAATAGCAGAAAACTTACAGAATTTACGAAGCCTCGACCTATCGTGGTGTTCCCGGATTACTGACGCTGCCTTAGATTACATTGCATGTGATCTCAATCAACTCGAAGAGCTTATTTTGGACAGGTAACATGTTTCTGAAAGTTATGATGAATTTGCAAAATTTAAACTGAATGCTTTTAGATGTGTACAAATATCAGACACTGGTATTGGATATTTATCAACGATGCTTTCGTTACAAGTGTTATGTCTTCGTTGGTGCACCCAAATAGGAGACTTTGGATTGCAACATTTATGTGGAATGAGAAATCTTCAAATATTATCTCTTGCAGGTAAATTACAAAAAGTTATTTTCCTGATTGATGCAGAATAACGAATTTGATATGTTTTAACTGCATAATCTTTAAAGCAATAAATGAGGATTTTGATAAACAAAAAAGCATTACAGTGTATCTCCAATTAACTGAACAGAAAAACACATAATGTTAATCATAATTTTGTCCATCTACATAAACTTTCAATTAAAAGCAAGCTGTTTACACTCCAGTTCGTGTGAAAACTGAGAGTTACATGTTGGAAACATGTTTTTATTAACAGTTTAAGCAACCATCAACTGTTAAAGTGTAAATTGACTTTAAGGATCATATAGCGTGACTGTGTTTGGTCATTTACGTATATGCATCTATGTGCATACGTAAATGCAAGTAGCATTATAATTTTTAATACATCTTGAAATAATTCCGAAATCAATGTGTGTTAAAAAATAAGTGCAAGGTTTAAACAACTTCCTTCTCTTCACATTCTCGACCTCGTCTTGGATAAGATTCTGCCATATCTAAGACTGAGGGGGAGGAGTAAATAGGGTTGTTTAAAGGTTGTCATCCCGCAAATATTTCATGTAAGATTGGATCGAGAGTAAGTATGGGTATAAGGAGTTGTTTAAATCTTATACATATAATATAACCATACTTGAATGATTCGCGAGATACTGATAGCATGTCGTCATGGTTTTTAATTTTTCAAAGATGAAAAAGTAGATGACGCTGCGATTTCCGCTTCAAAAATATATATATAAAAAGAGGGAATATTGGTGGAGGTGTAGGGATAATCTTAAACATGACTAAAAAAGTATTTTTAGGTGAAGAGAATGAAATGAAAATGAAAAAAACTATCGTAACTTGCCACAACCCTAACCTATTTAAGCATAGTAAAACATTTTTTGAGCGATTTTTCTCATTTTTTATAAAAATCGCAGATACATACATAAAATTATAGAGCTGGATTTCTAAACTAAAATAACTCCCAAAATTTATTACAATATTGGTTTCGGCTAGATTTGAGATGAGTTACGTTACTTTCTTTTTTATTTTTTTTTTACCTTCGCCCCTCACACTTCCAACCTTTCTCCCCACATCCCAAGGCGCTTTTTTAGTTTTGAACAAGGTCATCCCCACCTTCTGCACCCATTTCACTCCCCTTTCCGACCGTAGTTCCGATATTCTAAACAATTACCTTCATGTTTTATCCACCTTCGAAGTTAAGTGAATTAATTAATTCAGTTAAAAATTAAATGTACACATTTTTTCAGGTTGTTCACTCCTTACGTCGAATGGTCTATCAAATTTAATACAACTATGGCAATTACGTGAATTAGAATTAACCAATTGTCCTAGCGCTTCACGAGAACTTTTCTGCTACTTAAGACAGCATCTCCCACAATGTCTTGTGATCGAATAAAAAACATGCAATTGTTTATTGTAATAATTGTGATGCAAGTATTTATTAAAGTTGTGGTTTCTTTAAATCCTGATTTTAAACTACTCCCTTTCCAACTTAGGTCCAAATAAAAATAATGGTCATGGATTCTTTGGGTTCTCCATCGAAAAGCATAAGAAGGAACCCTAATTGATAGAGTATCAAATGAAAGGATTTTGCTTATAGTAGATTCGTAAAAATTTCTAATATCTGTCTGGATATAGGCACCCACGATCGTAAGAGGTGAAAAAGTGTATAACGTAGTGGGGATAACCGTGTACAACACTAAAAACAATTTTTTGGGGGATTTAATATGTTATTTGCTCAGAATGATCCCTCGTTTGAAAGATTGTAAACTAATATAATAATAATAATTTAATTTTCAAAAAATATATCGCATCTTAAAGTTGCATAATGTATAGTTTGTATCCATAATAATTACAAAAGTAACTTCTACTTAAGTAATTAATGGTAGAAAGCTTTACTTGTTGAAACTCCATAATCAATTAAGGAAACGAAAGTAAAATTTCAAAAAAATATATATTAATAGTTGACAACAATTGTTTGGCATTGACTTCTTCAGGTGAAGATAAGAGAGAATATCTTTGATTTCTATGTAAGTTTCGTATTTCAACTGCAACCAAAAATCACTCCAAAGCATTTCTTACTCATTATACATATATACATTTGGTTAGGTAAGGATGGCTAAGGTTAGATTGGGTATGTTTCACCTGTACTCCACTCCACTACCTCCCAATAACACTTTTTTAGTGTTGCATGAAGACCTCCGCGCCGCCAGTCATTCTCTACCTCCTACTGCCACAAATTTGTATATCTATGAAATTACCAAAGTTTTTTCCTTTTTTCACAACAAAGTTTCTGTATATGACCAAAAATGAACCACAAAAAGTATATTCACGTCCCTTAACAATTAAATAATAAATAATAACTAGTCGTTTAAAGAATATTTTCTTTATATCAGTAATAGTTACACAGATTATGTACATAAACAAAAACTATTCAAGGACTTACGATTTAAGTCAATTATGTACATTTTTCGCACAATTCGAGTTTTTTTTATAAATGGACAATTGCAAATTGAAACGCCTTATGTAATAAATCGTGTTATTACGGCTATTATTAGTTAATTATGGAGTACATTTAAAAAAACTAATAATAAGAGATAATATGACATTACAAATAATATCTATAAGCTTAGTGGCATTTTCCATTTATATTGCGTTTTATACACCTGCTCACAAATAATTACAGCGACTTTATTAGGCTCTCTTAACATCATTATATAATCACATTTATTATTAAATTAACTAAAGCATTTTCAGAAATAAATTAGCTAACAACAGACATCACTGGACATTTGTTATTAATTACACACATTATTTTTTAAGAAAGCGAAATTGAGAACTTTTACACTATCACAACAACTACTTATAATAATATTCCCAATCACAAAAATCTTTACATGAAAAATCATAACCATTTTGAACTCGATAAAAAAAAATAATGAAGCACTTACACAATTAATTTTTAGTATGGCACAATAAAAAAATCAATATTTATTACGTATTACTAAAAAGAAGTATCCACTGTGAGATTTTAACTTTTTGATTTGTCTTTTAGAATATTTAAAATTCATCTTCACAACCAAAATAAAATAATTTAGTATACGAAAAAATCTACAACCAATAAATAAAGAGAGGATGTCTTTCTGTAAACAGTTAAACCTATACATTTGATCTTGTAGTAGCGAAATAATTATTCATATTCACCTAGAATATCAAATAAAAAAAAAAGTGTAATAGGACTATGAGATGACACACTTTTCTTTTCTCTGTAGCTCCATTTGTGATAAGTCGTGTTCTATCAGATCGTCGTCTTCGATTCTAAAATAATTAAATAAATTAATGAAACATAATAAATCTTACTAATTGTAAAAAATAATTTACGCTTTCTCCTGATTATCCAAATGATGGACCAGTTCGTCCCTTTTATTGACTATTTGAACTAATTCTTCTAAAAGTACAGCCTCTCTGGCACGTTGCTCGTCCGTCTTTCGCCAATCTTCGATAGAAAGACTCACCCGTAATTCGTGATTCAACATTTGGTATCTTCTCTCCAAATCGCTTTCTTTTTCCCTACAAAAATTTATAAAACATGAACAACTCGATTGTCTGAATTCTACTACATTTGGTGCATTTAATGTACTTACAAAATGTTAAGTTGCATCTGCCTTCGTAAAAGTGCGTTTTTCTTATTAACAAGCGTAAACCATTGGGACATTAAAGCCTCCTCTTCTTCACAGGAACTACCAGGGTCCTCCATTACGTCCCTTAGTTTCCTCTCTAAAGCAGCAGCTTGCTTATCGATGGCACTTTGTTCTCTTTCCAAATCTTCTAATTCTTGGTCTACCCAATTTTGCACGTCAATGTCCACCTAAAAATAAAATAATTAGAAATGTATGTCTTTCTTTTATTCCCATCATCATCATCGTCATCATCATCATCTTACTTCGTTCATATTCATTTGGTTTGCTATTAAACTAGATGAAAGAGTATTTTGTATGATTGGACTAGATTTTTCTAATTTTTCTTCGGTTAGAGTTGCCGACGAAGATATGTTTCCATTACTCTCCATATCTACAAAATCGAGCTTTTAAATTGTAGATAAATACACTAAAATTCGGTAAGCATGTGTAATCACGATTCGTTACCTTTGGCACCCTGTTTTTTCGATTCATCTACATTTTTCGTTAATTTGTCTTCTGTGTCTAAAATAAATTTCAACGAATCAGGACTGACAGCTCGAATTATTTCAGTTGTAGATGCTGAACCCTTTCGTGTCTCAAGAATTAACCTTCGGGCTCTTTCTCTCAGCTGTGCTTGCCTTTCCTCTTCAGACATTGACTAAAATTAAAATGGAAGAACTTATTATATTTAGAAGTAATTTCATTTTATTTACAATACCTTAATGGGTGAAGTGGTTCCGTCCTTTTTCAATTGCTCCAACAACTGCCTTGCCCTCTCCTTTTGTTCCGTGTGTCGTGATAGAAGTTGCTACAAGTTAAACAGTGAAATTAAAAAAGTATACATAAAATATATTTAATAATAAAACCCTTACAGTGTTCGTTATAGGAATATCAGTAACGGATATGACCGATGGGTCCTTCTTATCAACGTTATCAGTTTCACTTTCTGGGCCTACCCCATTGGCTTGTAATGTAACAAGTACTGGCGATTCTTCCTGGACAGTTTTAACACCACTATCGTCCTCCTCGTCTGACCCAAACGGATCGCACAATTCACGTCTTGTCATCAAAACTGGCTTCTTTGCGTCTCCTTTTTTGTTACCACTGTTGTTATTGTTATTATTATTGTTGTTATTAATATGGCCTGTTCCTTTATCTTTTGATGGAGACAACACCCTCCCTAAAATATTCTTTGAGCCTGACAAAATAATATCCTTTGGATTGGACAAGAAAATATCCTTAACATCTTTAACTGTTGTTGTTGCTGCTGTTGTTTGTAAAAACTGTTTTTCACTCCTATCACTTACGTCATTTATTACAGATACTTTGGATTTATCATTAGCGACTATAATTCTTTTAGAATCTTTGTTGTTGGTGTTGTCTTCCCTTTCTATTGACTCCCGTTTCTGTTCAACGTCTTTGTTAGCCTATAATTTATTTTAGTTACATGAAAAGCATTTTTATTAAAAATAAATGTATATTATATTATAGATACCTGTTGCTGCTTTGCTTTCCTTAAATTAATAATTTCTTGACCAAATAACTGCATAGTAACGTCAGTATCACTGTCAGTATTGAAACGTCCTATTTTGTAACTACTTTCATCAGTTGTTTTTCCAATCTGTTCCACTTCCAATTCGTGACCCGTAAAATAGGCTCTTAACTGATATAGATACGTCATTACAGCCAATTTGTCAGGTACTGGAACAAAATTTTATTGCGCATTTGGCAAAAAAAACAACTAAAATACTACTTAATGCATCTTTAAATGTTTCATTACCTGCCAACATGTTCATATCTGATGGTTCTATTACTCTAGGAATTCCTATTGCATCGCCAGCGTCGAAAGCCTTTTTACAATTTCCCTTAACATCATGGGGAGAGAGTGAATCGAAATCACTATAAAATAAGTAAATCCTTGTGAATTCCGTTTGTTTTAATAGGCAAATTGTGTAACTACATACATTAAATCGGGCCTAAAACGGTGTATGAGCGCACAAAAAGCAATACCATTGCGCCAACTTGTTGTTAAATTAGTTACTTTTACATTTGGATACTCTTTAGTCATTTCTTTACACCATTCCAATAAATCTTGACCTAGTAAATTTAAAACGATTGACTAAATAAATAATAACCTACTGCTAAAATTATATACCTGGGGTAGTCGATTTCTGTATTTGTTTGTAACCATTTTCTTCTGCAACTTCATTTTTTTCAAGCGGCAAAGGTTCCAACTTTATTTTAACCTTTTTTACATGAACATCTTTGATAGAATCATTTTTGTCCTCTTCCACCATGTTAGCAATTTCCTCTAATTGCTCTGTACACCGTTCAGAATAAAAATCTTTTTCCGACTGCTGAAAATCAGAAATGTTCGGCAATGGAAGATTTAAATTAATCATTTTTTCTGAAGGTGGCAGTACATTCTCTCCGGTCGGAGTTTTGTCATCTCTTACGAATGACTGAATACTATTCACTAGAAATTAATTACCAAATATATTCCCAATCACAAAAATCTTTACATGAAAAATCATAACCATTTTGAACTCGATAAAAAAAAATAATGAAGCACTTACACAATTAATTTTTAGTATGGCACAATAAAAAAATCAATATTTATTACGTATTACTAAAAAGAAGTATCCACTGTGAGATTTTAACTTTTTGATTTGTCTTTTAGAATATTTAAAATTCATCTTCACAACCAAAATAAAATAATTTAGTATACGAAAAAATCTACAACCAATAAATAAAGAGAGGATGTCTTTCTGTAAACAGTTAAACCTATACATTTGATCTTGTAGTAGCGAAATAATTATTCATATTCACCTAGAATATCAAATAAAAAAAAAAGTGTAATAGGACTATGAGATGACACACTTTTCTTTTCTCTGTAGCTCCATTTGTGATAAGTCGTGTTCTATCAGATCGTCGTCTTCGATTCTAAAATAATTAAATAAATTAATGAAACATAATAAATCTTACTAATTGTAAAAAATAATTTACGCTTTCTCCTGATTATCCAAATGATGGACCAGTTCGTCCCTTTTATTGACTATTTGAACTAATTCTTCTAAAAGTACAGCCTCTCTGGCACGTTGCTCGTCCGTCTTTCGCCAATCTTCGATAGAAAGACTCACCCGTAATTCGTGATTCAACATTTGGTATCTTCTCTCCAAATCGCTTTCTTTTTCCCTACAAAAATTTATAAAACATGAACAACTCGATTGTCTGAATTCTACTACATTTGGTGCATTTAATGTACTTACAAAATGTTAAGTTGCATCTGCCTTCGTAAAAGTGCGTTTTTCTTATTAACAAGCGTAAACCATTGGGACATTAAAGCCTCCTCTTCTTCACAGGAACTACCAGGGTCCTCCATTACGTCCCTTAGTTTCCTCTCTAAAGCAGCAGCTTGCTTATCGATGGCACTTTGTTCTCTTTCCAAATCTTCTAATTCTTGGTCTACCCAATTTTGCACGTCAATGTCCACCTAAAAATAAAATAATTAGAAATGTATGTCTTTCTTTTATTCCCATCATCATCATCGTCATCATCATCATCTTACTTCGTTCATATTCATTTGGTTTGCTATTAAACTAGATGAAAGAGTATTTTGTATGATTGGACTAGATTTTTCTAATTTTTCTTCGGTTAGAGTTGCCGACGAAGATATGTTTCCATTACTCTCCATATCTACAAAATCGAGCTTTTAAATTGTAGATAAATACACTAAAATTCGGTAAGCATGTGTAATCACGATTCGTTACCTTTGGCACCCTGTTTTTTCGATTCATCTACATTTTTCGTTAATTTGTCTTCTGTGTCTAAAATAAATTTCAACGAATCAGGACTGACAGCTCGAATTATTTCAGTTGTAGATGCTGAACCCTTTCGTGTCTCAAGAATTAACCTTCGGGCTCTTTCTCTCAGCTGTGCTTGCCTTTCCTCTTCAGACATTGACTAAAATTAAAATGGAAGAACTTATTATATTTAGAAGTAATTTCATTTTATTTACAATACCTTAATGGGTGAAGTGGTTCCGTCCTTTTTCAATTGCTCCAACAACTGCCTTGCCCTCTCCTTTTGTTCCGTGTGTCGTGATAGAAGTTGCTACAAGTTAAACAGTGAAATTAAAAAGTATACATAAAATATATTTAATAATAAAACCCTTACAGTGTTCGTTATAGGAATATCAGTAACGGATATGACCGATGGGTCCTTCTTATCAACGTTATCAGTTTCACTTTCTGGGCCTACCCCATTGGCTTGTAATGTAACAAGTACTGGCGATTCTTCCTGGACAGTTTTAACACCACTATCGTCCTCCTCGTCTGACCCAAACGGATCGCACAATTCACGTCTTGTCATCAAAACTGGCTTCTTTGCGTCTCCTTTTTTGTTACCACTGTTGTTATTGTTATTATTATTGTTGTTGTTAATATGGCNTTTTGCAAAGATATCGTTTTCATGGAATTATTAAAGTACGGCAATATGTTTTTGTTCCAAAAAGCGCGTTTAAAAAAAAAAAAATAAGAGATCGTATTTTTTGTCGAAATTCTTGACGCAGTCGAGCTGGCATTATTGACGAAAGTTTAACTCTTATTGTCCTATTGATTGATTATATGTTTCTTTCTCCTCTCAAGACGAATACAATCTTAATCCGGGTTTAGAATGGGAGGACGAGTTTACAGGTAGGTGGCTTTTCCGAATCGCTGGAACTCATACATTTTTTTATTATCTCTATTATAACTTAACGCAGTTTGCTTTATTATATTTAATTAGTGTAGCATACCTGATAATATTTTATTTATTATAAAACTTTTCTGGGGCTGTGATGGGCTGTGGTACCTATAATTAATTCTTCGTCAATGTAATGTATCGTTCTTTCGATGTGCATTTACTCTTCTGCTACTTAACAATCTGCGTACGCATGAAATTTCTCTATTTTTCTCGCTGTGTGAGGTACCTGCATAGTGATACTATTTCAATTTCAATTGTCCCTGTTATTACCAAATATATATCCATTAATAGATTTAAAAAAAAAATACAACTAAAAATCATTTACAAAATTCTGTTGTAAACATTCTGAGCTTTATAATACATAAACAATATTTTTGTAACTAATCTTAACGTTTGTAAGCAAACAATGAGTATGTAGTTCAAAAATATTTATTGCAAACTCCTGCTAACTAATTCACGTGGCACTTAATTAATACTTTCAGTTAGTTAAATTTAATCTTTCAAATAGGAAGTTTCTATTCTATAAAGGTAAGCATAGAAAGTACCTACATTATAACAATATACTGCATATTTAAATTTAACTTTTATAATGTCTATTGTAATGTTTATTAACGTGGGTTCTTTTTTTTTTGAATTCCTATCCGATTTATCTGTTATGCCATTGAACTATTTAAAAAAATATGATGTCAAACCGGAATATAAGATAATAAGTTGCTTTATGTATTTTTATTTGATCAAATCGTCGCTTGCATGTAATTTGTTGTATTTAAGTACTTTGTGGTTTGTAATTTTAAAATTAGAATTTATGCACTTTATCTGCTACCCCATTACCTCTGTTTTACCATCCCCTTGTTACATTGCTTTTGCATATACGGCACTAAACTTAGTNAGGTGGCAGTACATTCTCTCCGGTCGGAGTTTTGTCATCTCTTACGAATGACTGAATACTATTCACTAGAAATTAATTACCAAATATAGTCATTATAGAGTCAAAATTTTTCTAATAGGCCACATTATAGCATTCTTTCTTACCACTCATTGGAGTACTAGCTATGTCAGAACCAGATAAACTATTTGTCATCTGTTGCAGGTGCTGTGTTACTTCCTGTATGCTGTTTTTCACAGAGTTATCACTAAATGAGAAATCTTCATCTTCAAAATCGTCCAAAGGAGCTATATCACTGTTGTTATTAACAGACATTAAAGATGCCATGGATTGCATATCTTCATCTCTAAATATCAAAGTGAAAAAAAAATACATTAATCCATTGTTAGAAATTAATGTTTAAAATTTCATACGTTGCTTTTCCTTCTCTAAGAAACACACAAGATAAAGTACATTCTAACTTTGCACTTTGAATTTTCTTCGACGTGGGCTTAAACTGTAGTTGAAGCTGATGTTGAGAAGACTCTACACTAGCATATTTTCGCATATTGACATGAGCCACAGCAAGTTGTCGCCTTTTACCATTTGGTACTACCTGCTATTCGATAAAATCATTAAACACTTAATATAAATCTATAAAATTAGAAATTAATTTGCATGTTGTCAGACTTAAACTGCAGAGTAAGAAATAGACAACAAATTTTTGTAATCAATAAACTATTATCATTAGGGTAAAATCATCATATTAGCAAACAATACGTTAAGAAAAGTAGTAATCAAAAAATACTTGCATCTTCTATAATAAAACACCAATCTTTATCTTCTAGCTCATTTGTTCTAGGGTCTTTAAACAGTGTAACAGATATCTGATGATTTTCAGGAAGAGGCCACACCACTAGAGCCTTATATGGGTTTTGCAGTGTTGGTTCCCATTGCATTGTAGTTGATATTACACGTCTAGATCTACGAGTCCATACTATTGCAATTTTATGAGGTTCCCTACAAATATCGTTATTTACACCACATATTTATACATGAAAGCTTTTAGGCCAACCATTTGGGTGTAAATTCAAAAGAAAGTTGGTGATAAGACACTGTAAATTGAAACTTGACAGCAAGTTTATTCACTCTTTGAAGTCTTTTCCACACAGACCCCATGATAAAAATATCACCAAGGTAATCCTCTCACTTGTATAAATCCTCTTCAAGTGAAAATATCATTATATAGAGTATATGGTATTACAATACTACGTGCATCTCTATTAGAATGTAAATAACAGCACTACAAGTAGCACTAACTATCATTTTATCTACGTTAAAGTAGGAAGTAATTGCAGATACTCAAATTAGAGTACGATAATAATTGTTATAATTGTCGTAACTATTAATTCTTAATATATTTTAATAGTATTTACAATAATTCGTTCACTGACGTCTGTCAGGCTAGTCACAACCATAGACATACTATAGATAAGGTTAAGGTCACAAAAAGTCACAAATATCAACTTCATTTTTTGCAAGTCAAAAATAAAGGCTCGCGCACATATGTATATCAAAACCGGACGGACGACACGGAACGGAAAAATGTATATAAAGTATACGCTTCAAATAGTACAAGACACATTCATGAGGACGGCACTATCAGCATTTTACAAATAAGTCGCAATTTCCATTCACCGACTGACTGACGGTCGCGACATCATCAGCGGCCCTTCCGACTGTTGTTTCATCGTTCCTACCCCTCGATATAATAATGCCTACACGATAAAAAGTCAACAAAGATATACATATCATACATATGAGCAAAACGGGCAAAAATGGTACGTTATTACCAAGCGTGAAAGCTCGGAAAATTATGTCGTCCACATCGACGCAAAGTGTCGTGGAAAGAGCGTCTGCTGAACTGTCGAAACGGATAAACGGACTGGGTTTAAGAACAAGCATCAATTCGACAAAAAGCAGTGTCATAGAACGTGTTACGAATGTGTTTTGTGGCAGCAGTTTCAGTAGCAGTTCTTCGTCAATGCAAAACATTGACAAATCGTCTAAAACCCATCCGTCCCGTGAAGCTAAAGCTTCAGAATCAAGGTACGTACATACTATATACAAAGGACATGGTAAACGATTAAGAGCATTCCATACATTGTAACATTTTAGCGTCAATTATTTGACGTCAACTTCATGGAAACAGTGTCTCAACCAGAACCGTTTGACATGGGACCAGTTGATGCTAGACGAAAAATTCTTATCAAAGTTCTTCCTTTACTTCAGTCCGAGCGAGCGTTGCGTTTTACCACGGGTTTGTACACGTTGGCGCGATATTTTGTACAGAACGCCGAGATACTGGACCGGACTCACCCCCGTCGTACAGTGTAGAGAATTACGAACAGCTTCGTCCGCTGATAAAACAAGACTTTACACTTCTTTTCTAAGGAGAGGTTTCCACGGACTTTGTTTAGTCGGAGCCATCGACGAAGATGCTAGTGATATCGCCAACACTTTTCCAATGGCATCAAAACATATACACTCGCTTAGTATTCAGGGTTCTAGTATATCCGATAAGGGGTTGGAAATTCTCCTTGACCACCTTCAGGTAAATAATTACTAAAGTAATAACCCAAACGTGTCACTTTCTAGGAATTACTTTTAGGCTTTGTACGAATTGGAGATAACAGGGTGTAATGAGATTACGGAAGCAGGCTTATGGGCTTGCCTTAAGCCCAGAATAGTTTCTCTAACATTAAGCGATTGTATTAATATCGCTGATGAAGCCGTCGGAGCTGTCGCTCAATTATTACCAGCCCTTTACAAATTCTCGTTGCAAGCTTATCACGTAACAGATACCGCCTTAGGATACTTTTCATCCAAACAGAGCAATACGCTTAATGTCTTAAGGTTACAATCGTGTTGGGAAGTTACTAATCACGGAGTTGTAAATTTTGGTAAAGCAAAAGAAACACCAAAAGTTGCTTATATTATATTTATCTACAATGTTTTTTTTTTAGTACATGCGTTACCAAATTTAACAGTACTCAGTTTGTCAGGGTGCAGCAAAATTACGGATGATGGAATTGAACTAATAGCAGAAAACTTACAGAATTTACGAAGCCTCGACCTATCGTGGTGTTCCCGGATTACTGACGCTGCCTTAGATTACATTGCATGTGATCTCAATCAACTCGAAGAGCTTATTTTGGACAGGTAACATGTTTCTGAAAGTTATGATGAATTTGCAAAATTTAAACTGAATGTTTTTAGATGTGTACAAATATCAGACACTGGTATTGGATATTTATCAACGATGCTTTCGTTACAAGTGTTATGTCTTCGTTGGTGCACCCAAATAGGAGACTTTGGATTGCAACATTTATGTGGAATGAGAAATCTTCAAATATTATCTCTTGCAGGTAAATTACAAAAAGTTATTTTCCTGATTGATGCAGAATAACGAATTTGATATGTTTTAACTGCATAATCTTTAAAGCAATAAATGAGGATTTTGATAAACAAAAAAGCATTACAGTGTATCTCCAATTAACTGAACAGAAAAACACATAATGTTAATCATAATTTTGTCCATCTACATAAACTTTCAATTAAAAGCAAGCTGTTTACACTCCAGTTCGTGTGAAAACTGAGAGTTACATGTTGGAAACATGTTTTTATTAACAGTTTAAGCAACCATCAACTGTTAAAGTGTAAATTGACTTTAAGGATCATATAGCGTGACTGTGTTTGGTCATTTACGTATATGCATCTATGTGCATACGTAAATGCAAGTAGCATTATAATTTTTAATACATCTTGAAATAATTCCGAAATCAATGTGTGTTAAAAAATAAGTGCAAGGTTTAAACAACTTCCTTCTCTTCACATTCTCGACCTCGTCTTGGATAAGATTCTGCCATATCTAAGACTGAGGGGGAGGAGTAAATAGGGTTGTTTAAAGGTTGTCATCCCGCAAATATTTCATGTAAGATTGGATCGAGAGTAAGTATGGGTATAAGGAGTTGTTTAAATCTTATACATATAATATAACCATACTTGAATGATTCGCGAGATACTGATAGCATGTCGTCATGGTTTTTAATTTTTCAAAGATGAAAAAGTAGATGACGCTGCGATTTCCGCTTCAAAAATATATATATAAAAAGAGGGAATATTGGTGGAGGTGTAGGGATAATCTTAAACATGACTAAAAAAGTATTTTTAGGTGAAGAGAATGAAATGAAAATGAAAAAAACTATCGTAACTTGCCACAACCCTAACCTATTTAAGCATAGTAAAACATTTTTTGAGCGATTTTTCTCATTTTTTATAAAAATCGCAGATACATACATAAAATTATAGAGCTGGATTTCTAAACTAAAATAACTCCCAAAATTTATTACAATATTGGTTTCGGCTAGATTTGAGATGAGTTACGTTACTTTCTTTTTTATTTTTTTTTTACCTTCGCCCCTCACACTTCCAACCTTTCTCCCCACATCCCAAGGCGCTTTTTTAGTTTTGCACAAGGTCATCCCCACCTTCTGCACCCATTTCACTCCCCTTTCCGACCGTAGTTCCGATATTCTAAACAATTACCTTCATGTTTTATCCACCTTCGAAGTTAAGTGAATTAATTAATTCAGTTAAAAATTAAATGTACACATTTTTTCAGGTTGTTCACTCCTTACGTCGAATGGTCTATCAAATTTAATACAACTATGGCAATTACGTGAATTAGAATTAACCAATTGTCCTAGCGCTTCACGAGAACTTTTCTGCTACTTAAGACAGCATCTCCCACAATGTCTTGTGATCGAATAAAAAACATGCAATTGTTTATTGTAATAGTTGTGATGCAAGTATTTATTAAAGTTGTGGTTTCTTTAAATCCTGATTTTAAACTACTCCCTTTCCAACTTAGGTCCAAATGAAAATAATGGTCATGGATTCTTTGGGTTCTCCATCGAAAAGCATAAAAATGAACCCTAATTGATAGAGTATCAAAGGAAAGGATTTTGCTTATAGTAGATTCGTAAAAATTTCTAATATCTGTCTGGATATAGGCACCCACGATCGTAAGAGGTGAAAAAGTGTATAACGTAGTGGGGATAACCGTGTACAACACTAAAAACAATTTTTTGGGGGATTTATATGTTATTTGCTCAGAATGATCCC